CCCCCCATTCCTAATAAAACATTCACCAAAATGGGAAGAACACTAGTCAGGAATTTGTTTCAAGAAATGAGGCCCACTGACTATCACTCTATAAGGAAGTTTCACCCCCCCCCCATTTCCTTCTGCCCCCTTCCCTAACAGACACAGGGGGCATGAAATGCAATTAGCACTCTTCATTCACTACCTGTCTGGCTTTTACTATTCCTTGCCTCAGGCAATAAACAGGTTGCCCCTATCTAGGCAAACGTCAAGACTTACATGAATTGGTTCAAAAGTTAAGTCTGCCATCTTTTCTTTTTTTTGATTGATTTTTAGAGAGAGGGGGAGGAAGATGGAGAGAGAAAGAGAGAGAAAAAGAAACATCGATGTGAGAGTGGAACATCAATCAGCTGCTTCCTGCATACACTCCACTGGGAATGGAACCAGAAACATTTTGGTGCATGGGACAATGCTCAGCCGAGTGACATTGGCCAGGGCAAGTCTGCCATTTTATTCCTGGTCAACCATGCTGAAGGCCACCCTGCAGCCCAGCCCTGTGCTCCTGCAAGCCTCCCAGTCACAATGGTGGACACTGCTGAGATCTAAGCCTGGGCAGGAACGAGATCTAGACCCCAACCACATGGCCCTAGGCCAGTGAACACCTCCTGCTAAGGCCAGTCAAGGCTGGGCTTAATTAAACATAAGCCCTCAGGGATAATTCTCTCTCCTGGGCTTTTAGACTCTTTTCCTGTCTGAGCACAAGCTAGGCTCTTATTTCCAGACAGGCATGTGAAATGTGCTCAGACATCCCAGAAGTTCACTCAAGACACCACTCGAGTCGAGGGCACCCAGGCGTGTAACACCCTATGTCAGATTAAGTCCATGGTGGTTGCCTGTCATCCATATTTAATTTTGTCAGCCTGTTAATTTTTAACTCTGTTTGCTGTGGAGGGCCATTAGAGGTCCCCAGGAGCTGAGCTCGGTGAAGCGAGAACTCTGTGGTGGTGGATGAGGCTTGAAGCCGGGCTGCCCCACTTTCCCATCCTGTCACTGGGCTCTGGCCTTCCCCACCAGCAGCACAAACTCTGAATAAAACATGATCCCATTTGGAGCTGATTTTCCTTTTGCCTGTCACAACTGGTTTCCTTCAAGGAGAAGTTCACTTTCTTTTCATGAAGGCTACGTTTTATAATTCTGAAGTTTCTTTGTAGCCTCAGTTTTGTTTGCAAAGCAGTTAGAATTCAAATACTTTCAGATGCTATCTGGGTGACCAGTCCTACGAAATGAGATCTAAAACCCTGGGTAGATGGCTGGCCACCTGCCTGAGCCTCCCCTCCACACACACCAGCCACGGCCACCATCAAGTCTCACAAAAAGAGGACTATTTTAATAATTACTCGTCTATGCCAAGCATTTTCCTCTTTCCCTCAGAATAATCCCATTAAGTAGGTGTTCATTCTTCCTCCTTACAGGTGAGCAAACTGAAAGCTCAGAGATATGAAAAGCTTGCCTATGATCCCAATGTTAGCAGAGTGGGTGGAAATCATCATTAAAATGGAGCCTCTTTGAATGAAAAGACCGAGTCCCTACGAGATGTCGTGCTGGGCCCTCTGCACATGCTACTGTGGTCAGACCTCGCCTTTGTTAACAATCCCTGCCTGTCAGAAGTGGGCTCACTACCTTACTTGTAGGTGTGACTCACTGAGGCTCAGGGATGGGCTCTTATAGCCAGTGAGGTCCAGGAACACAGACCAAGGATCTAGGAAGTTTAGTTTCACAAAGGACAAAACAGAACATGCTTGAGAAACTCGGAAAACAGTGTGCCCATGGAGGCCACCCTGCAGCCCCCATCAGGGGAGGCCCACTTGAGCTGTTCTCACATGTTGGGATCAGCGACCCCAGATGGTCACAGCCTCAGGGAACTGACTGTTTTCGGAACAGTACTGCCAAAGGCTAGCCAGTGTGGGCAAGCTGGGCCTCAGGACCCGCAGCTCTGGCGAAAGGCACAACTATCCCAACAACACTGGATGAATGACTGAACTGCTTCTGAGAGACCAGTGAGGACAGGGAAGACATCAATGTCTCCCACTTCCTTACTTCTCCAAATACCAAAACGCAGAGGGAAGGGACGGACAGGACAGACAGGGCGGAGAGGGTATTTGCTCAGCTAGGAGTAGGATCCTTGGGGTTCAGCCACAGGACCATGAAGAGAATTACAAGGCACAAGATGTAACTCCACCACCTGGGAACGGGGTTGGTGGAATCCTAGTGGGACTGCGGGAAGAATAAGCCAGAAAGCCCGGAGGCAGGAACAGCCGGCTGGCTTTCTCTGACCCAGTTCTCCGATAGGAAAGCAAGATAAGGCAGCAGCTGGAAAGTTCAGGGCCAGCGGGTGAGTAAAGCAAAATACAGGAACCGCTTGGTCTATGGGAAGTCATCTGTTTCCCGCTGTTGATCCATTTCTTGTCGGAGAATTTTCTTCTGGCAGGCATGTTGGCCTGGCTGTGGACAGACTAGCCCCGGGGGGACAAGTTCTCCCATTACTGCCACACTGGGGCAGAGACCAAGCTGCTGGATGGCAGCTGCTCTGTGATGCTGGATGCCAAGCTGCTCTGTCACTGCTCCCTCCCTCACCTTGCTCCATCCCTCGTTCATTCTTCCCAGCCTCTAGTCTTCCTTTGGCTGCAGCCACGAGGCCCGGGCAGCCCTGCTGGTGTTGTCGAGACGTGCAGACCATCCTCAGTGTTGAAATGTCACAGACTCGTGGGTGGCTGGTCCTGGGCTTCGTTCTTTGTTGAAAATTCACATGCTCCCTAAAAGGCCAATGTTAACTAAGCCCTTACTGTGAGTCTCACACGTGGGCTCATTAGTCCACTGACTGAAGCTGAGAGAGGCTAAGGTAAGTGTTCAGTCAGACACACAGCTTACAAATGGCAGAACCTGGGTCTGGCCAGCCTGCACTGTTACCCGTGTTACCACGCAGACTCAGCTTCCCTGAAGGGCTTGTGCCCAGCCTCACAAAGCAGGCGGGGAAACAGCCCAGAGCAGGGCACTGGGAAAGGCCAGGGGCTTTGGGATCCTAATGACTGGGAGACGCCCCACCCTGTGCTCACATTGCCCAGCCTACCTGACCCGTCTCCTTGGGGAGTTAAGCCAGATTCTCCTAGGTGGCCAGACACCGAACAAAATTGGAAACTAGATAAAGCTGGCACCTTTAGAAGCACCAAGGGTGCTTTCTCCTCACAGTCTGTCCTTCAGAGCTGCAGATTTAGACAGAAAAGTAAATGTCAGAGGGTTAATACTTTCATTTATATATGAAAACAAAGCCTTGGGTTGAACAACCCCCGGGCAACTCTGCAGTCCTTCAGATCAGTGTCCAGCCAGACTGTCCCAAGCCCTGGGCTGCAGGAGGACCACACACCTTTGGGAAAGCCAGGCCTCAAGGACTAGAATGGCAGAGCATTAAGAGCTGATGATATCTGTGATGCTCAGAAGTAAGGCCCAAACCTCAGGACTCCTCCCTCACCTTTGAGAGGTTGGTTGGCAGGAAAGGTGCTGAACCTGCCTCTCCTGGGTCCCAGAGAGAGCTTTATTCACAGGTCCCCTGCAGGACCAACTACCATTACAGCACTGGCCACTGCCTGTGAACGGAGGGGGAGCTGGAAAATAAGAGTCCCTCTATGAGTCCCAGCAGGTGTGTGTGTGTGTGTGTG